AAATTCAATTCAGGTAATGTTATATACGCTTTTTTTAACCAATCTTTTATCTTAGAAAACAGTGTGTTTGAATATTTGCATTCCACAAAGAAATGCTCTAATGTCTCTATAGATGTGTGACAAAAGGAACAATTTGGCGATTCTAATATTCTAAACTTATAGAGGTCTTTATTAAGAAAAAGACAGTTATTTAAAATTTTATACTGGAATGCTCGTAACCTGATTTCATTGGTAATCATAATCACACTCTGATAACCCTCCAATTTGGAAATAATTTTTTGATGAAAAACATTCCAAGGACTGACAAAATTGGAAGAGTCCAATTTGGCAGTCAGAGGAATTTCATTATTTTCAAATTGGACAGACATGTAGTCCTATTGCAGATTAATTATATCATCCCAAACTATACTAGACTGGTCCCATAAGTCATAGTTTTTCCTCGAAAGAATGTGAATGGAAATGATCCAAATTAATCTTAAATTTGGACAGAAAAGAGAATTTGAAAATAATACAATAGTTGCTCATATGGGATTATAGAGTGATGATACAATTATAATAACAAAATAGATCATAAATTTTAATTGTATCTGAATATAATAAAAATATTCTTAAAAATGATAAGCTAAAATAAACCACATGCATACATTAAAAAAGTATTTTAAATGTAGTATTAATAATATTCACAAACACTTAGAATCGATTTAGGGGATGATGCAACATCTTTTAAACACTTAAATGGTTTTCGGTCCTTACTCAAAAATAATCCTTATCCAACGAAATATTTTCTTAAAWAAATACAAATTTTCGTCTGAAAATCAAATGAAAATTCAATTCACGATGAGTTAATATAGTAATGGAAAAAWTTTTTTGGTAATGAATCAAGAAATGTTTTTAGGTTTCCCGGCAAAATATCAAATCRAAGCAATTTTCCAAATATGGAAAGCAAACTTTTTTATCAAGAAAGAAATACAATGGTACGCGTATCGTGAGATTTATATAAAAAAAAGGAAAATGGAATCTTTAARAATAATATTCAATTTTACCTGTTCTTTAACAGATTTTCTCAAATTTGCCAGAAYATCATCATTTTTAGCAGAAGCCATGGTAAAATTCTTGCACGAGGGAAAAATTCTGTTAAGATTGGAGTATCTTGCTACACAGCTGAATCGATGTGAGAAAACTGAGGTATGCTGAGAAACGAGTCTGTGTTGTCTGGTATTTGTGGATATAAAGAGGGTCTTTAAGATGAGAGGAGATCGATGGAACAATCGGTTCATTCACCTCTAGATTCACGAGCACATGAATGAAAATATATCATCAAGAACCGGTCTTCAGCAATACACATGCGCACTACCGCTGGCCACTTGGACTTTTTTCTTTTTCTTTTCATTTCTTTTTTTTTTTTTTTTTTTTTTTTTTTTTTTTTTTTTTTTTTTTTATTGTTTTTGTGTTCTTCTCTTCACTCTCTTCACTTCTTTACAAAAGAGTAGAAAGGAAAGCAAATAAATGCAAAAGGAGACTTTAATTTTTA